TTTAGCAAATGGCTGCAATATAACAAAGAGTGAAAAATTGAAGGGGGTCTGAATACTTTCCGTACCCACTGTACATAAAAAATCCGCGGGAATGAGTAAAAGCAATGCACAATCCCACACCGAGATTCAGGACCTGATTAAACATATATTCTATTATACAGAGATTTGTGAAATACATTTCCATGACTTTTCCAAAACTTTGTTTTTTTTTCCCCCCAAAACTTTTCCAGGCCTGGAAATTGCCATTTTAAAATGGCATGCTTTGGAATGTAGTGAAGTAAAGGTTTGCTAAAGGACAGATACCTGAAAAATGTACTTGAGTACAGTAGCAGAGTAAGAATCCTACATTAACTTCACAATACTTCCAGCACTACTAGTGCAATACTTTCTTGTGTCTTGGAGGAAGTTTTGCATTTTCATACTGCTCGACTTCAGCATCATTCTCATTGTGATAACTGCTGAGAGTTCAATAGAGTACGGACACGGATACTCACAGTCCGTTGGCGAAGTCGTTCATCAGTGAGGTCAGGCTGGTGAAGGTCAGGATGGGGATCAGAGCGAACGGCAGCTGTTCAACACAAAGAGCATGAGATCAGAAGATCTGCTGGGGTTCAGCAGCGGCTCCACGGCGTCACACACGAGTACCTGCATGCTCTGCAGCACGTTCAGGAAGTCGTTCATGCCGGTGAGATGCTGCACATCCTCGAAGACGGCCACCAGGAGCGTGGGGAAGATGGCGATGGAGCGCGTCAGCAGCACACGAGCGAAGCGCGACCAGCGCAGGTTCAGGAAACCCTGGGGAGCCGGGAACAGGGACGCTTTCAAACACACCCAAACGCAGTGCCATCCTGTGAACCAAGCGGTCTGCAGATCCACATACCTCCATCACAAACTGACCAGAGTAGGTTCCTGTCATGGTTGAACTCTGTCCAGCGGCGAGGATCCCAATGGCCCAAATATACAGCGCAGCCGGGCCAAAAAAACAGCCCAGAACCACTCCCTTCAATCACAAAAGAAACCGCTTCATTCATTCACAAGCACACAAAGTCCATATGAATGACATGGATATTCGATCGAATATAACATTTGCAGTGATGACTTTAATCAAAGTGCTTTAACCCCTGAAGTGCCACCCCCCATTTTTGAACATAGACGTGAAAGTGCACTATCCAAATGTAAATTATAATTCATCAAAACTTTGGAATACAGATCTAAGGTTGGACTCCTTTTTAAGAAGACAATCTGCAGATTACTGCAGAAGTGGAATCATTTCAAAATATTAAAGTATCAAAAAGTTATAGAAGTTTAAATTTACTGTAAAGAAAATGCACTGTACCAATTTTTTTTATTTTATATAAAGTAAATATTTTACAAAATATTTTTGAATCCAAAATTGATATAAAATTAAAGCCTTATGTCTAAATAAGTTATGTTTCAAATTTGAAGTTGATATATAAAAAAAATGGAGGTTCCTGTGAGATTTTATTTAGGGCGTTATACCACAAACAGCCACCGGGTGCCATCCAAACTCTGTAGAATTTTTGTTGATGCATTTTTCTGTCACGAAGGTCTAAATTTCTCTGTCAATATTACTTCTATCAAAAAATAACCACCAAATATGGAATCTTGAGACTCAGACCTTTCCAAATATATGTATTTTGTCAAGATTATAAAAACTTTAGATTCTAAAAGACTGTAATACATTTTGTAATATGACACTTGACTCCACCCACTAAGCGGAGGAGACCGCTAAAAGATTTTAAAGTACCATTTCCATAGTAAAGCAATGTCCGATTTAAAAATGGTTTTCACAGGATGAATTTGAGGTTTTAAGCTTTCAAATGATATACAATTTATTGATGATTACTAAAATATGTGATAGAGAAAAAAGACAACAAATAAAAGAGCACCATTGGGCCCACCTGTGGGCCGGTGGCACTTAAGGGGTTAAA